AGCCGTGAAATAAAAAGTCACATGTGATTGATTCAGGTAAACATTCTGTGTTGGAAAAAATGAAAAAATATCAACAACTATAAATACGAAGTAATATCACTTGCAGACTCACATTACAAAATAAACATATCTTGATATCGGCTGGTAAGTAGTCTTATTCCACTGTCGATAGTTTTACATTAGTGATGTTTTACTTTTTCAATACATCAGTATAGATACTAATGATAGCAAAAATGACGGAAGATAAATATGAATTCTTGTACTAGTTAATATGAAGATATTGAAAAAAAAGCTCACCTAGAAAACTTAAATTGGTATTGAAAATCAAAATCTATATAATAAGATTAATGTCATCCATTGAAAATGAAGACCTTTAGAAGAACAAATTAAATTTGTATGCCTATCATTATATGGTTGTGATATTTCGTTCGAATAAAAAGCTACTAAAAAAAAATCTATGACACTAATAAATACGATTGAAAAATTCTGTAGTATTGTTGTTTGGATCTTTTGCTGTTCAAATGAGACTCTATCAGCAATACTTGTAACGAAAAATCAGCTAGAGCATAGAGACGAGAAAAAAGCTATCAGATTGATAAAAACCGAACTTTTTAATAAAATTTGCTTCATTTCCATCAAGAATAGCTACAGTAAGATGCCTAAAAGACAGTCCTGCGCATTAATGAAACCTGACCTTCTAATAGCATAAGATTATACGATGAAAGTAGATGCATTCAATAAAATCCAAAAGAAAACGGTATATTCTTGAAGAAGAAATTGAAAAAGTGAATAGAAGAATTAGTCATAAACGTATTACAATCCAATATAAATTATTCGGTGTCGAAATAAATCAACACGAGTAAATGCTTCAATCATTTCATAAACTGTTGAGTACACATGCATTTTTATCAGATGACCATTGTGATGGTAGTGCTTTCTTGACTTTTCTGCAACTATTTTTAAAACATCAAGATTTAATCGTTTCTACATGAAATAGGACGTATATAGCTATACGAAGGAGCTATAACAGAAGTCGTATGCGAACAATGCAAAATCGAAAATGAATAAGAGAAGCGGTACGTCGTTGAGATGTACCGGATTCGTCATTGATATTTTGTATACATATTTGTTAATGTAGGTTTTAAGATTTTAAAATAGGTGTTTTATCACCCATAATAGTTGTCGTTTTCCTACTGTCATCAATAAGTTCATAACTACTGGTATAATTATCTAGAAATGATATTCATCTCTCTAATTCTTGATTGTAGCGTCGTTTAAAGTTTCCTTTCCAAGTTTGAAACAGCTATCATTCGATTTTTGAATATTCAGGACTGGTCGACCAATGGAACCTTGTGGGTTGTAAATGTAATTTTTCACTATAAGTAGAGCATGTGGTAGCTGGGTTATTTTCTTGAAGAAATTGTATTCGTGAAGGAACAAAAGCATAAATAATATCTACTCTTCTTATCATTCATACTTGTCAACAGTAAAGTTAAGGCATTAACGTGGTGCTAAGTTGTATGTTTCGTTCTAGTTGTTTTAGAACTTGTTTTATTGCAGGTTCAAGATACACACATAATAATTTTACACATTAACTTAAAACTTACACTCACTATTNCTGATCATCTTTGAAAAATATAGAAAAGAATGCATGAAAGTGACATACAATACACATGAAGTTTCGATTATGACCTTTGATTTAGATAGAGGGACTTCAGACCTATAGTTCAAAACATAATACACTTTCTTACATTTTATTACATTTTCATCGAAGTTTCCAGCTGTTATGACAAAAAATGCAAAAAGGTAGTAAAACATCAGTAAAATTCCCTACTATTTGTGCATGTAAATACACGATTTCATTTGGTCAACGTTAGAATGCAATTAGAGAGCCATTTGGGTTGCATCTTGAACTATAGGTCTGAAGTCCCTCTATCTAAATCAAAGGTCATAATCGAAACTTCATGTGTATCGTATGTCACTTTCATGCATTCTTTTCTATATTTTTCAAAGATGATCAGTTTTAAAAGAATTTCGTCCGACATATTATCAGAGAGAAAGACGCCCTAACTCCTCCTCTTTCGATTGGTGAAAATCGCAGGTCTCTAGCTGTTTGCGTTCTCGAGTTATTCAAAAAACAGTCACACGCACGGATTTTTTAAACAGACTATAAATGAGTATATATGTGCATATCACGACAAGAAAAAATCAAAGAAATTTTGAAATTAAGATAGTTGATAGGCAATTAAAGAGCTTTTGATTTATAAATCTTTTTTTCTTCAAATAAACAAAACCCACATTGGTGCTAGAACAATTCGTTGCAGGACAATTCGTCGCCAGACAATTCGTTGCAATGATATAATCCAATTATAACTTATTATTGTTTTTTTTTCATAAATGAATTGATCTATTAAGATAAGTAAGAAACAAATAATTCAATGAATATGAAAATTGTAGCGACTATTTTTACTGATTACTTTGAATTTTTAATTCGGTTTGTATCGTCATAAGAAATTCTTGCTTGATGAAAAAATCAGATTTATTTTCTGCTTCACAATTAACACTGATAAACGTTTAATTTTAAGCATTTAAAATAAGAGCTGATAGTCTTTAGGCTAACACAATTTGTATGTTAAATAAAGATATTTAATAAAACGATTTGATCGAAAGTTTCTTTTGGTTATGTTAAAGCCAATCTTTGTTAGTGAACGCTAGGTTTCACTTGTTTTCTCAACGTATTGCCCCATGAATCGTAAATCGTGAGCGACGGTAGGAATTGAAAGAAAGATGAGGCACCACTTTTGCTTCTATGAGAAGACTTACTGCTGACATAATTAAAATAGCTTTTTATGTGTACAAGACGAGTGTCGTATTGCTCGGGATTAAAAATCAAAGTTTAGTCATTAAAAACAGTCTCTACAATTTTCACATTCATTGAATTATGTATTTCTTACTTATCTTAATAGATCAATTCATTTATGAAAAAAAAACAATAATAAGTTATAATTGGATTATATCATTGCAACGAATTGTTTGGCGACGAATTGCCCATGCAACGAATTGTCCGTGCGACGAATTGTCCGGCAACGAATTGTCCTGCAACGAATTGTCCGGTCACCCCCACATTATATTGTTCATGATTGAATACCACCAACATCGAATATATTCGATAGAAATTCTGATATTTTAAGGTTAAGATAAAACTTGCTATTGAATTTTCATTGAAAGCAACTGAAGTTGAAATTTTTATACTCGTCCATCATCAAAATATTGAACTGGAATATAAATGAAAGGAGACTGTCATTTTATTAATATAAAATCGATTTGAAATTTATTTTCATGTGATCTTGATTCTTTTTTTGCGCATAAGTTTTGTTTCATATATTTATTCAGGTCAAGTATAGATATTGATGATCCAAATATTCATATATTACACTGGAATACTTTGATTGTTTCAATAAAATATTTTCTTAATTGAATTTATTTCACTTTAAAATTTGCAAATGAGCATGGAAAAAAAGAGTAGGTCAGAAAAGTCGTAGTTTCTAATCCGCAAGAATGGTCCCAAGATTGGCTTATTGAAAAATTTTCCATAGATGAAAAAATTTTAGAAAATACCATTTTCCGATATGATCTATTGTGAAACACTATCTAAAACAAGTGTTAAAGTATAGACATTTGTATCTATCACAGTTCGTAACAGACATTCTTGATATACAATCATAGACTAGACATCACTAACGTCTAGTTCCAATTTATCAGCTATATCTTTATAGCATCTCTGGAGGATATAGAAAAAAGATGATGAAGAGATGTGCCTCAAAATAGATAAAATAAAGCAGTCTCCTGGTTATTAGCAAGAGTGACTGCATCGTCTTTCACATTTCAATTTCTCCAAGACTTTGCTAAACACTTTTCTATTTAAAAATTACTTCTAATGAGATAGCTTTCAAGAAGCAGCCTTTTCAAAGGCTGGAAAATTTTGGTTGGTTACTATTTAGTCAGTAATGAAATTAGATAATTTTTAAGTATTGTTGTGCAGATAATAAAATGTGATCAGATGTCATGGAATAATCGGTTTGATCCTTGTACAAATTAGTTTTTATTGCGTGATTCATTCTATCAATATATTCAAAGAGTTAGTTTCACATTTGATTTTTACATGACCACATTAAAATGAAAATTCTGAAGCAGCATTCTATTTTGACAAGTCTATTTATATCAAAAACAAAAATTACACAACAATATTGAAATTCTATGAAATAAGAACTTTTTTCTATGATGGTTTTTTATAGAACATATTTGACTCGAACAAGAAAGAAAATTCACTCTTCAGTTTTGTTTCCTAGAAAAAAAAACAAATTTTTCGCACTGGAATATTACAGTGTGAATAGGTATGCATAAATTGGTGAGACACGCTATCTACCTTCATATTTTGCTCGACAGAACGAAAAGAACAACAACATCATAAGTAACGTATATATTTCTGAATAGGAATTTTTTGTTTTTCATGAGACCGTTTCAAGTGCATCACTATTCTACATAAAGAGTCATATGTATATGAAAAATTTTCTTTGTATACTACTTGTAAAATGATATTGACAAACGATCGGTTTTGTAAAAAAAAAATAATCGTCAAAATCTTCGTTGTAACGAAAATGCTGCATATTTTTTTTCTCCTTTTTTGTGTTTATCGTCATTGTTATTTTTTTCTTTACTTATCTCTCTGCCAAGAATGAAACAAAAAATAATCTATATGGAAACAGTAATAAATTTTGGTTGTCTAACCTTGCTTTTTTCTTGTTGTTACATTTTCACATAATAGCTAGGTATCAAATAAAAAAGTAAGTTTACTTAGAAAAGACATTTTAAACTTTGCAGTTTGTCTATCAAAACAATCGATATATGTTTTTTTGCATCTATTACGTCTTTGAAAGAACTCTTCTTTATATTTGAACCATTATTCTTGAATTATTCGAATTTTTTAGATTGAAAAACAAATGTCTTCAAAATTAACCAAGGAACCATACTCAAATATAAATCGACTAAAATTATTAAACGCAACTACTTCAAATCCCAAGTTTGTACTTGAGAAGTCACCCTTTAACGAAGATGACGATGAAGGGGAAGCAGCTGCTTCCTCGAGTTCAAAAGAACACGTCATTATTGGACGCATATTTCCAGACTCAGAGGTATTTAGAGAAGGTTCATTTCAAATTGAAATTAAATTAACACCAACTTATCCATTCGATCCACCTGAAGTACGTCTTCTTACTCCAATTTATCATCCAAATGTTGGCCAAGATGGTAAGAAAAAAAAATGAAAGAACAGATCAAAAATAACTTTTATCAAGTTTCTCTTTAGGCAAATTTTGTCATGAATTATTAAAAAAAATTATCAATATAAAAATATTTGTTTTTAATCATTATTTTATTTATTTTCTTTCTTTTTGTTAGAAATCGGTCGTGAATATATGGACAATCGACCTGAATTTAATCGTAAGGCACTGGAATTTGTCAAAAAACACGCTTTGCCACGTAGCTAAAGATTGTATTGACTTGTTTCTTCAACGAACTAAACTTTCCAAGTTTTGATGTCTAATATAGTGTGGGATGGGTGTGGGTGGGGTGTGTATGGGTTTGAGTGTAGGTGGGTGTGGGTGAGGTGTGGGCGAGGTGTGGGCGAGGTGTGGGCGTGGTTGTGGTGTTGGTCTCTTATTCAAATGCCCCCACACCCACATCCAGATTTTCAAACTGATTTGTTTAAATAGAATCATATTCTTCATGTTAAAAATATTCATATTTATAAAAATAATGTTATATTCAATTGAAGATTGACAGGATCTTTTTTTGCAAATAGGGTATACGCAATGTCGGTGAACTATTTTTAATAAACATTGTGACCGAGATTTCGATCACGGTAGATGCGGCTGTGAGAGTTTTAGATTAGCTCACAAATATATGGCTATACAAAAAGATAAACTAGCTCAAATATATTTAACACAAGTATTAGAATTCTATTATGGATATGATGACGACAGTGTGAATTGCAAAAAGAATTAGCTGATTTTTTGATTAAATTACATCAGTATGAGAAAGCTTATGAAGACTGATGGTCAATTAAATTCCAATGACATAAGCGAATAAAATATAAGTATTCAATCATCTTGTTTTGATCTATCTCATTAAAGAATTGAACAGATTTCGAAATCATCCATTGTTAATAACGATCATTTCTCAGCAATCATTTTTCTATATGTAGATATCAAGAAAATAGTTTGTCTCTCTCACAACAAAATTATTTCAATATATTTTGCTCAATGAACAGACTCAAATTATCAATGAATCTCAGTACGAAACAAAATCAAACGTCCACTGCTTGACATATTTACTGATATAACGAAGTGTTCCATAGTTAAAAAATAGATATATCATTCATACGAAGGTATTACTGAAATACTATGTGAATAGAGATGTAAATTAATTCGGTTGATATCGAATGCTGGTATCTACCAGAAAATGGCATGAAGAAACTAAAAAAAGTGTTATCTATTATTGTATGATTGTGAGCTTGTTTTATTGACTATGTTTGATAGAGATATTGGTAGAAGGACCAAATTTATGAAATACACCAGAAAAAAACATTTATTCAACTGTATGACGATGCAATAGATATTTCATTAGAATAGAAAAACTAAAATGATATACAATAACTATTTTATTAGGAAAAAAAATTAACTAAAATGTTATAACAACAATGGAATACGATGATCATCTGCAGTTGCTTGGTGTTCATGTCTTCGAGGTATTTGATACATTCATTACCATCTGTAAACGTATTGACGCTGTTCACGATGTGACGAACTTGGGTGATGATATTTCGGCAGTCGGCGCTGTTGTCACCGATAGTGTTATCCAACCAAATCAGAAGCACATTTTGCACTATTTTTATGCTGATTCTTTGATGCCTACGTGCACCTCTTGATGAAACAGATGTTTGGTCTGCTTTCGTCGCGGCACTGGAATCGCCAGCTGCCATTGACTTTTGATTGCATATGCCCATAATTTGTTGTGTAAATATTGTTGATTTGAAATGCTCGAAAAAATGCTAGTGAGTGAATGACTGAAACGGTCCAATTTATAGGACGCCAATTCCCTTTCTAGATTTTTCTCTTTTGCATCATCCTTATTTTTTTCTGTTGTTATTTTAAGATATCGCCTTTTTTTGTCGCTTTAGACTATGTGTTGTTAAGAAAAACAAGAGAGATCAGCACAGACATCCGTTAGTAACGAACAGCGAAAAAGATTGGTGAACTGTAGCTATGGTGGACAATAAACGAAACAATCCGTAAAAAAGAATCATTCTCTTTTTCTTTGACGGAGAAGGAAGCCTTCAAGGATGGGATGTGGGTGTGGGTGTGGGTGCGTGTGAAGCTTATTGACTCGTCCATAGAACCACACACCCACACCCACACCCCACACCCACACTCACACTGACACCCACACCCACACTCACACTGACACCCACACCCATACCCACATCCACCCACACCCACACTCACCAACACTCACATCCACATTCACACCCACACCCTCAGCAGAGGGTACACAAGTTGCTATTGGTGGGAAAGTAATATTGAAGAAAAGCACAGAGTCACAGTCCCCCTCAGACAAAAAAAATTGCCTTTTTCTATTAGCTCGTTCTCCTCTGTTTTTATTATTATGTCTTCATTCATATATCCATGGATAGAGCAAAGAGTAAACTACATATATATATATATGCAGTCCATTTGACTGGCTTATTATTTCAAATCTCTTCGACATATACAAAAAGGCCCTATTTTCGTGACATTCAACGTACAAAAAATAATACTCTTTTGAAGACAAAAAAATTTTTTCAACAAAAAAATGATGCTGTTTTATTAAAGGGGAAAAAGCAGATTTCAAGATTTCAAGATTTCAAGATTCCCAAAGATTTCTAGAGATTTCTAAAGATTTCCAAAGATTTCCAAAGATTTCTAAAGATTTCTAAAGATTTCTAGAGATTTCTAAAGATTTCAAAAGATTTCAAAGAGTCCAATTAAAGAATATTTGCGTGATCTAATAGATCTCTGCTTGAGAACTTGTTCAGTCTCATTTTATACGCGTTCCTACATGACTTAATCCCTCCACTGCAGAGAGAGTCGTATAAGATAGAATGAGTTTGTGACTATGTTTTCATGTTTCCATCCAACGATCTAGTCACATAGTTGCATGTATTGGTATAATCTTAACATTTCAATGAAGACAATCGAAGGCGACAAATCTAAATCTGTAATCGGCTTCTAGAAAATTCGAACTTGATATTTTTCATTCAAGAAACACTTTCTACAGTAATAACCATTCTTTTGTAAAGTTTCAAAAAAGATAGTCAGGGTTGTGGAATTCAAATCCTTAATTAGTTAATAACTATTCGTCGCCTGGATTTCTCTTTGATAAAACGCATTGTTTCTCTGAAATACTGTTCGCCTGCTGAGTAATCAAAGGTATGAATGTCGCGAAACCTATTACAGACTGCAATTGTTCAACCATACTTGCGTTTCTTCAAACTTTATAAAAAGCCGTTGTTTTCTTAAAATAGATTATTTTTGATGAAAAAAGTGAAATTAAATAGTATTCGCCTCAAACCTATCACTCCTTCACATAATTTCAACTGAATAAAGTATTAGATGGGAAAATGTTAAACTTGATATTTAATTTTGAGCTTTATATCAACATTCAATACAAATGGTACTCGTTACCACAATTCGCTTGACCATCCACTAAACTTGACTTAACCTTCGCCTCTTACCACCTACAAGACTCTCTTTTGAGAACTGCTGCTCAAGAACACGTGCTCATGTAAAAAGAAATGTTTATTTTATTGCCAGAGACGACCATTTTGTAAAGAGACCGTACCTTTCTATTTTCTGTTGACATTTACTAAAATCAACCTTGACGAACAGCACGCATCTGTTGTTCGCCAACATACCAAGGCGTCGCCAATCTCGACTCCTTAATTTGCTGTATGATCCAAATTTAATTTAGAGTGCTTCATTTTCTCGTTCAACACATTTTTAGTAGTACGAAGAAATCAATCAAAATACACTTCGTATTCTCATATTGACCATTAAATGCATTTAATAAATAGAATAAGAAGACTACGAAGTTTAACGCAGTAGGATCGACGTTTTAGTCAGTATAATGGAACTATAACTCACAAGTATGCGATACTAGCTCTTGTAAGCTCTATTCTGACAATTTTTTTCGATAGCCCACTCATGGAAATCGGAAAATTTGTTGCATAAGATCTTTTTCTTTCAATATTTGAAGCATCGTGAAATTCTTGTTCTTCAGTTTCTCTGAAACAATGAAGGACATGATTTTCTTTAATAGATATGACCTATTCGCATTAATTTTGTCGTAAGCAGTAGAGACCTAATTATGTTCTTGATTCGGTACTTCAGATCGGGATTCACTAAATAGTTTATGTGAAAACAAAACTTATTCTATGAACCTGCTGATTTTTTTCTAAATCAGATAAGGATGTTGCTCCACTTTAACAAAGGAATGTTACTCTAAATCTCGTTATAGGTATTTGATTAATAATCTTCCGATTTGCTGCACACAACAACTTCCATTTTCATGCAAGGTCTTCTTTTATCTAACATGAGAGATTATACTTCAGGTCAACTGTCATGTTTATTCTAAGTTTGACTCTCTATTTCTGTATCTTTCTTCCATATAAAAACTTATATTACCATGTAACAAAACCTAACTCGTTAAATTCTGACAAAAATATTCTTTTTATTTTGAATACAAATTTGGGCATCCTTACTAAAATTCCATTCAAAGATGTAGCATATCCATTTCCACAGGCATTTTTCATACACAATAGGAAGGTATAAAACTTGAACAAAAATCTTTATTCCGAATCAATCGCTATAGGTAATAAAGAGAAAAGTGATCGAGATAATTTGGATTAGTATGCCACCAAAATTATGAAAACACACCAGATGTTGAATAGCTCAAATATGAGCTTGGTTCCCTGGTGAACTTTCTCAAAGGTTGTGTGGATTGAAAGACTCTGATTCCGCTCGCATGCAAGCAAATAAGTAGTAATACTGCTCTTCTTAGCACCTTAAAATATAATACATTTCTTTAAAACTTCAAAATTTTGAATTCATTTATCATCCTGTACAAAAGAATCATAGAGTAACATGGTAATGCTAGTCGTTTCATAGTATTAGGATTGAGTTTAAGCTTACGCTTCAATCTCATGACGAATAAGTCCAACCATTTTAGTTCCTCTTCACAAATGCTCACTTTTATCCAGAGCCATAAATATTTCTTGAACCTGTGATTAAAGCTTGAGTATGACTACGTCATTAAAATTAAAACTGCGTTGGGAATTCTGCAAAGTCCATTTTCTACTGAGAGTACTTCTGAACGGAAATATATGTAGCAATTCAAAACAATTCTAAATTTTGTACTGATCATTTCTAAAACTAACCCTAATAGCAATCTGCTTGAGAAAATATGCATGCTGATGGAGATGGACATTGCATCGATTTACTACTTCAAAAATATTTCTTTTAGTTCTTTTTTTCATGAAAGATAAAGATTTTGAGGTGTTTTTAATCCATATAAAAAGGAATGAACATCAATTGATGCCTCTTTTACTCATCGTTTCAGAAAATTTCAGTAACATTAAACATGTATCTGGCAAGACTATAGTCAACTAGGCTTAGTACCCAATAGTGAATTGAAAGCTAAAGCCCATCATTTTCGGAGTCTAAACAACATCTCACTATTAAATTTATACTATTTGGACTACCGTTTACTAAATGACAGATAAGTAGTTCGGCTGTTGATAACAGTGTTGTACTGTTGTATATGTTACGATTTTCACTCGAAGAAAAGAGTTATTTCTTTATACTTTTGAAGCTTTGATACAGACCTCAACCATAGAGAAAGGATTCAGCATTTAGGTTGTAAGAATGGAAAGAAAGCTCAGATGACTTTTAGTTCTTCCTTTTGTCAAAGATCTGTTTTTTATATAAAGCGGTACTATCAAGATGAAGTAATTTCTGCATGCAAGTTGTCCATCATTTGCTTTTCGTATTAATCATCTTTTGTGTTTGGAGTCATAAGTCACAGACCGTTCTTTATTTACAGGGGCATTGCTTTAATAAAAATTCACTAACAATGGACGTGTTTATGTTAGCAAGTAGTATAGTTAAACACATTCGGGTCAAATTCAAAGCTCTCACCGCCAAATTAACATATTTAAAATATAGGCTGCTTTTAGTATGCATCAACCAAGATTTTCAAGTTTTCAAGTGTTTACAATGTTTGTAGGATGACCAAAACTCAAAATTTCAGCAGAATCTTTTATTCTGTTTTCTTGATGGTTGAATGAAACTTTTCGAATTACATCATCAAAAATATTAATTTCATATTTTTGAAAAGATTTTCAAAAATATACCAAAGTGAGAATTTTGGATCTATTTTTCCTTATATACGGAATTGATGCTAACATGGATTTTTTGTCTAAGACCTTTTACAATCTCTTTTTTAAATATGGAACATATGTATATTTCTAATGTATCTCGACCATCTCTATCCAACTATCAAGAAAACAATGAAACAATCTGCTGAAAGTTTGAGCTGGGACCATTCTACATACATTGTTAACACCTTAAAACTATAATATCGCGGTCGGTGCACACCAACAGCAGCTCATATTCTAAATTTGTAAGTTTGGTAGTGAGAGCTTCACTTTGACCCCAATATATCCAATCTCCTTAACTGACAACACAAGCGTCGTCGCTGTAGGGGATGTTTTGTGTCAAACGTACTTTTTAAAATTGTTTCACAGAGTTCGTAAGGAAAAATAAGCTTTTAGAGTTTCGCAAATCGAACGCAATCCGTAGACAATGTTTTTTACAGAACCGAATCTTGTGAAGCGTTTGTTCGTTGGAACTTTCACATTCATGATCAGCTATTCGACAGCACTTCTTTGAAACACCACTCACGGCTAGTCGCTCGCGTGCTTAAGTTTACTTTCCCAAAAGATGATTTATAGTCTACGATTCAGTCGATCTAGATTTAGCTAATTGCGATTAACCATTCAATTTCCAGCAGAAGTATTCCCGATGAAAAATTTCAAACAAAACATTTTGCTATACAGAATCATTCCTGTCTTAAATTTTATCGTCTTTCTGATAAATCTGCCATGTATTGTAATTCAACATTTACCGAATCTTAGTCGAGCATTCTCAACAAGCATGCTAGATGTTTTACAAATATTATCTAAACCAAATATTCACTTAACCATTAATATCAGTGGTCACTCGTTCGTCAGCATCTCTTAGAGTTGACATTCACGGCTGGTCGCCTCCTTTGTAAAATCTATCTCCTGAACAAAATTACCCTCTGGTTTGCACAATCTGTTCAAGTAACATTGTGCTTCTCTCCATAATATTTGTAGCTTATAAGTAACAGACTCCTCGACTGAAACTTGAAAATACTTGTGCTATGATGAAACTAATCAGAGATACAATACATTGCATCGACGCTTATAAAATATCAATTTAGGCAAGCGATTGATTGATCAAAGTCAATTAAGCAAAGAGTGGACACGAACAGGACGCAAATAAACTTTTGTGCTTGACTCTATTCCAAATATGAAAACTTGGATTGGGCCAAAGTGATTCTTGAAAAAGATATGTGATTAGTTAAAAATTCTGCCTGAGAAAACTTATAAGACGAAAACTAGATATGGAAAACAGCTTTAAGAGTGAAATTTAGGTCAGAGAGAAAGTTTGGTTGGTAGTTGAATGTCGAAAACGTCGGAGTCACGGAGAACTCGAAGGCTTGAAGACTGACTGGACAAATAGCTACTAGTGATCATACTATATGATCGAACCCACAGCACAAAAACCGTAACTTGATTAAGGAAAAACTGGAAATGAATATGATTGGTCGATAGTATAGCTCAAAGCATACATAGCCATGTTACATAGTTAATCTGATATTTCGAATATATACGCAAACACGTGACTGCAGAAAAATATACATACATACATAAAAACTAACTTATTCAGTTTTTCCTTTTGCCGCTCTTCTAAGTAATGGGAATATACTATTCAAACGATATTCAATGGCATTAAACATTTTGGAAGCGGTTTACACAAATTTTAAGTACGCATCTCTCTATACCAATTGCTCTCAACCCGCAATGGTGTTAATGATATAGTTATTGTTACGTCCTTGATTTTTTTTTCGAAAAAGAAAGGGTCTTTCATGAAAATAACGACTTTTTATGAAATTTGATTATAAGTAATGGAGGTTGAGGAATCTGAATCTGGAATTAGTTTCTTAGGGTTGTATACATGAAGTTTCGATTCAAGGAAGAGATTTTTGAACAAGTTACGCTTTGTATTAAATTTGACCATTCGTAGACGAAACTAGTTTACTTGACCAAGCAATGCAGTTCAAACTTTCCAAAAACTAACAGCATATTCGAACAACCCGCATCCGAAAATCTTTGATAAAACTTCATAAAAAAATTCTTCTTTGCTGAAAAGGTCCTTTCTTTAATGGAAATATTAGGGATGTAACGGTACCAGTACAATAATATGACAGCCGGTCAATATCAATTCCATTCAATCCTGATAATTCACTACTGTATTGTTGTTGGAATATGCCTCATTCTAGGGTTCCAAAGGATTCTTAAAGATTTCTATAGATTTCCAAAGATTTCTATAGATTTCAAAAGATTTTAGGTGTCAAAATCTGCTTTTTCCCCCTTGTGTTTTATAAAGATATATTTATTAAATAATTATATCATACACAAATATAGAAGAGGATAAATTACATACATAATATACAAGAAACTATTGATTAGCTCTCTCTTGATTTTCAGTTTTCTAGACGTTTCTGCGTATTCTCCTGAATTTAATACTATAGAATATGTCTGCTCTTGGATGAAATCGTACATAGCAGCACAACAACCAAAAACAGCAGCAAAATTAAATGCAACAATAGACAATGCATGCAATGATATACCACAGAAAATCATACAATCTTACATTTCTCATTCTTTAACTGAAATTCAAGAGAGAGCTAATCAATAGTTTCTTGTATATTATGTATGTAATTTATCCTCTTCTATATTTGTGTATGATATAATTATTTAATAAATATATCTTTATTAAACAGCGTCATTTTTTGTTGAAAAAATTTTTTTGTCTTCAAAAGAGTATTATTTTTTGTTCGTTGAATGTCACGAAAATGAGACCTTTTTGTATATGTCGAAGAAATTTGAAATAATAAGCCAGTCAAATGGACTGCATATATATATATGTGTAGTTTACTCTTTGCTCTATCCATGGATATATGAATGAAGACATAATAATAAAAAACAGAGGAGAACGAGCTAATAGAAAAAGGCAATTTTTTTTGTCCGAGGGGGAGTGAATATTAATGGTTGGTTTTGTCTCTAGGATAATAAAGCGCATATATTTTCTGTTAATGGTACAACATTAAGTCCTCTTCGAGAATTAGAACACCGTGACGTTGTCACTCGCTTAACTTATTCACATGATGGACGCTTCTTGGCTACTGCTGATAATATGAAAAACGTAACGTGTTATCAATTACTAAATTTTGAATTAATTGGTCGTGATATGTTGCGTTATCATGCAGCAATTGTAACTGATCTTGCATTTAGTCCTGATGGAAAAAAATTAGCATCAGTTGCCATTGATACACATTTAATGATTCATCAAACTGAAAATATAACAAAAATGAAACAAGGTAAAGGTTAAAATATCGAATAGTTCAATGCGCATGATTTCAATCAGTATTGATATTTTCGACGTTTTTTTTATTCAGGTGCTCATCCTTTCAATCCGTCTACATGTTTAACTTGCTTAGATAATGATACATTACTAACCGGTGGCAATGATTGTTGTCTGCATAAATGACCTATAAAATGTTAGAAATGATTATTCATATTGGTTTGCTAATTCGTTATTTGAATAATTCATTTATTAATGAACAATCCTTGCTTGTTATCCATTTTGATTGTATGTGTACTACGACAAATCTTTTCTGTGTGCTTTTTAACCTTATGTCATCTTTTCTTTATGATGTATGAAACTCTTTTAATCAAAAAAAAAATTAGATGCGACATAAAATGAGAATGTTCGACTTTTATGTTTAATGAATGTTCAAAACTAATTTACATATGGAAATTGTCGACGTAACAGATCGAGAATTAATAATGAACTACCATGAGATTCAACCAGTTTTAACATTTCTAAAGGGTGTGCGTTTGAAATAATTGAAAAATCATAGGACTTTTCGAACTTCGGAGCAACACCAAATGGAGTGAATGTGCCTAATGTCGTCAAAGTACCGTTAGTAGTTGTTTCTGTTGTTGTTGGCAGTAATGGTGTTAATTCTTGTGAAGAATTTATGATGACTTCTTCTATTGCAGATAAAAACCCAAAATAAGCACTCAAAGAGAATGATGCATTATGCATATTTGTCAATTCACTTTTGATAAGATGAAAACCGGGAAGTTTATTATTGATACTAATGTTGTATAGTTCCATTAATGCTCGACCATCCATCTCCTCACATAATGGTAGTAGTTGCTTCAAACGATTAGCTGCAAGAAAGTCTTGCGTATCTAATTCAGACCACTCAAGGATTGGCTTTCGAATAAAATCCAATGTCGGTTTTCGAGTTTTGATTATTGAGGATACAGTATTTTCTCTCGGTGATGGTTTTTCACTTTCTTTTGCTTTTACAGTTACAGAAGGTTGCTCTTTAGTTGCTCTATTATCTGTATCATTAACAACTTTTTCTGGTAGTATAGGCACTCGTTTTAGTGCATTAATTTCTTTCATCAAACGTTGACATGCTTCATCGAACGTCAGTCGACCGAAGTTGATATATAATCGTGATCCAATCAGGACTTGTAACCAACCATCAGGTTTGAATTCTTTTCTCATTATTAATGGGATCATACGTCGTTTAAGCTTATATGCATAGGAGGCTTCACTTTGACAAGCGCTACTGCGTTTATACGAATCCGACATACATAAGATGATGCATTCTGAATCATTAATTGCATTTGACATAGCAGTTAAAACTGAATAAAGAAAACGGAAATAGGTAACTAATGAGTTCATTGATTTTATTGATGATACTACCTGATCCATGCATATGATGAAAGTCGATCCATACTCTAAAACCTTTATTCACAAGAAAAGTATATATTTTACGTGCCAACTCTTGATCATCATGACAATACGAGATCATTAGATCGTATTTGTATGATTGTTTACTAGGTGTTTGTTTGCGTCCTTTCGAGGTGTCAGCTCGTTTCATTGTATCTAGTCCAACAAATACGTTACTTTGAAAAGATTTCCCATCGTGATTGATTTTGCCTACTTCTTTTTGTTCGAATTGTTCGTAGAACAATTTTTCTATAATATTTATTTATTGAAAAAATGTCTATATTAAATATAAAGCTAGTCTACCTTTCTCGAGTTTCCAGAAAATGCCAGAAGCTACTCTTTTCAACGGCTCATTTTTATCATCGTGAGCAATCTTTCGAATTCGGTCAACAAGATTCGGATAGGAATTTAAAATGTCACGGATTTCTTCGTTGAACGACAATTTCCATATTACATCATAGGCTAATACCAGTGCTTTGCCTTCCAATTGAGTAGTGCAATCAGCAAGCAATGGAATAGCATTCTGCTTTAAGATTTCACTTTTGACTTGATCGTGTTGAGTAAAACCTAAACAAAGAACTATAAGATGCCACAGACATCTTTTTTTTTACCTTGGAGAGTATCCAATAATTGTTCTATTTCAGTTGTTTTGTCCGATTTTTGATTCATTAATGTTTTTAACGATTGAAACACTGTATCAAGAAGTTCACTAAGATTTGCCATCTCTTTAATATCGTTTGCATGCGCTGTATAAGCAATAAGATTGCAAACATTGAGTTTTAACGATTCATTGTTAGACGAAGCTATAAGATTAAATGTCGACACCATTTCTGATTGGTTTACCCGATCAGCTATGTCTGGTTCATTTAACATATTTCGAAGAAAACAAAACATTGTGTTGACAAGAGTTATCGTTGAATCAGATAATTCATCATGAAGATTAATATAAAAAATGAGTTGTTTGAGTATTATTAGTACCTGATCAATAAATAATAGATTTTCACTTATGATTTTCATATTGATTTGAAGCTGATTCTCCCCATGATTGACCATTTTGAGTAACCGATCACTTGCTTTCATTATCGGTTCACTCCACTTTTGTGTCAGAGGAGCTAGATGATGTAACAATTCAGTGTATTGACGTAACATTGTACTAAGCAAATCCTTCATAGTTTGTTCGAGACGAACACCTATATAAATAGAGATCAACGAAAAAAAAATGGTTCTTGTATGCACGCTAACAAAGGAAGTCGAGTTACCTCTATAAGAAGTAAGAAATTCGGGACAGCTAATAAGGAAAAAATTCTCAATAGCTGTCATTGATTTCGTCTCCATTGACATATTCGTGAATAGGTCAATATAATATGATGAAATAAGACAGTATACAACAGGATTAAGTAGGTTAACAACAGCATCTTTGTCTGAATCGTCATCATCATTCAGATGTTGTTGATACTTTGTGTATACTTCTAACAAATCCGTGTAATTCTCAAACAAATAATTGTTATCTTCCAACAGAAAATCTTGTGACTTGGCTATATCAGTAAGACAATTTGCAATCACCTCCAATAAAGTTGAGTTCAACATCCATGCTGGAATCAAACTAACATTCGGAATGTTATTAACTAATGTGTTCATTAGTTTGCTCATGGAACAAAATACAGTGATCTCATGCTTTGTTAAAGATGAAGGATATTGACGTCGATGAAGGATGTCAACCAATGTTTCTTGAAGTTCAAGAAACAGTTCATGTTGAGAAATAGATATGAGACTTTGTGGAGGTAGGCAAAGGACCGTATTGACTATACCAATGACAGCAGGATACTTCTGTTCATTCGAACTATTATTTTTCAAGTTCGTCACTGTATGTGTAAATGTATTCAGGATATTCATCAGTTCTTCGTTTGAGTAAGTACCGATTTGCTGACTCACCGCAGAGAAATACTCATGGTCTATAGAAAAACGTTTCGATAGTGGATTTTCATTATTCTTTGGGGACAAATCCAAACCTATGCTTGATTTGCTTGTTGATTGTTCTTTGGAAATAAGATTATGCTTCGACTTTTTAGATGAAACAATTCGTTGGCTTTGTATAGATGCTTGCTGTGTATGGTTTTTCGGTTTATCTTGTCGGTGTTTATGGGTTGATCGTCGACTTGGAATAGGCTTTCGCAGTACGTATTCATTTGGAATATCAAACAAACCTTGGTTTGGTTGCTGATTTGGAATAGGTTTTGACACTATGTATTCACATGGAAAAATAAATGAATTTTGGATTGATATCGGCATTTGATGTGATTGTAACGAGTTCAAATCATAAGAGAAACAAGTGAGCAATCGATTTGCTTGCGGAAAATATACATGATAAGCGTTGTTCATATTTAAAGACACAATTATCAAACAATAGTAAACACCGTGTTTGGTTTCTCGTGTTTTTTGTAGTTAGTGCCTTCCAATGGATCTTATCTACATAATTAAAAATAATGTGTGAAATGAGTGGTAATATAAAACCGAAAAGCTGTTTTAAGAAAAATGCTATGGTGATAAAGAATAAAAGGATTCGATCAACTATTAGCTAGGGTGTGAGTGTAGATATGGATGTGTGGATGTTATCTTACGGCCATATATATGCCACCCACACCCACACCACACCCATTCCGCGGAAAATGACATTGACGATTTTCGTGCCTGGGTCCCCCCAGGTATCATGGAAAAAAAACATTTATTTTTTCAGGAATTAAAACTAGATGTGCTTGTAGAGTCAGGGGTGCTGATTACGAATATCACAATGAGAGCTTTCAAAACTCCTTTATTTCATAAATAGTCCGAACCACTCTGTGTACCCCGTTTTTCATTGTTGGGGCCCTCATGGATTAAGTATCCGATCATATTTAATGAAAACTATTTTGTCTAATCCAGAATTTTAAGCTCTCCACGAATTTGAAGTTTTTATGCCGCAAAAATGTAATCTTAGAAAAAAAATGGCGATTCTGGGGCCCAAATTGATCTTTTTTTTCAATACATATGCTTTTATGTCTATAACTTTTCTATGAAGACAGCCTGGTTGCAATGTCAAATTTGAATCATAAGGGAAATTTTTAAAGCTCTATCGATTGGTGATCTCAAAAACAGAGAAAACGTTGTGCAACAGGGTCCAAAATCTGTAATATGAGCCTATCCATGTAAGCCACGACCGAACTTACTCAATCGAGGCCATCAGATTTTGCTCAATTTAAGATATATTGTAGAGGAAAGAATTTTATGAATTTCTACGCAAGCCGTTTCAAAAAATATTGCACCGTTCTAGCAATATTTAAATTTCTTTGAGAACACTATCGCCAAAAAAATACATTTTTTGTGATTTTTTGTGGCATAAAAACTTCAAATTCGTGGAGAGCTTAAAAT